TATTTTAATAGTACTAAATTTTAAAAAACTGAAAACAGAAAAAAAATAACATATTATAACGATTAAATAATTATTATTGGTAGATATAATATTCATAATTTATGTTTTACGTTTAAAAAAAACTAAAAATACACAGAATGATTCTTTTAACGATGGTCACACAATTTTTCTTAAAACAATAACTTTTTTAAGAAATTTTCTTTGGTTTTCGTTAGTTATATATGTATCTCCATTTATCTGTTATAAAATATTTTTTATTTTCATATCTTATATCTTATTTGGGTGTCAACTTTATTCAAGTGAAAACTTCTCTTGGGATGCTTTCTTGAGAGTAAAAAGGTGAAACGAATTAGCTACACTAATGAACGTAACGTAGCGATACTGAAAATTGTAATCTAGTAAATCTTTATTTATACATTGTATGTGTATAAATATATATTCGTGTGTTAAAATCCAGCTAATTGCGCGTCGAGAGGACTTCTACACAGCTAGCTGGTAAAACACGGACAATATTGGAATGGACCTGAACTATTACTGTCTCCTATTTACAGTTGGGGTAATGATCTACCTGCCCTTATATCAATAGAACAGTCGCCAGAAATCAAGGTGATTATTCTAATGACCGGTGCTACTGTTCAAGAGGACGAATGGTATAGCCGGTTTTTCTCGTATGTGCATAAGCTTCGAGTCGTCGCATACATTTATCGCTTTATTAATCGGTGCCGGCGACAACCTACTGATAGCGGTTTATTATTACGTTGTCAACTGGACAATGCGGCCCGTAGTTAAAATAGTCAAGTTGCCCACTTCGTAATTATTGTTCCATTATGTATACGTTGTATTAATTCTTTGTTAGTCTATTTATTTCTTTTAATATATGTATGCGTTACATTTATGTATTGCAGCATGTCCGTTTGGAATAAAGGGGGAATATCAAAGGGGAGAGACAATATATAATTGGTGGTTATCTACATTTGGATAACAATATTAAAGAAAATTATATATATGGTTTTATTTACGTTCTCATTTACTTATATTTTTTATCTGATGTGCCTAAAATATAACTCATGGTTAATTATTTCCATTTAATTAATTAATTTTATTTTTATATTTATATCATTGTTATAGTTTTCCTATTATTCCTACGATTTTCCATAAACTTCTTTTAACATTGCACTCATAATTTTTTTGTAACTTTTTGAACGATTCCTTTCAACATGATTTTCAATCGTACTTGGGGAATTTACTACGTTAAATCGTATTGCACAAATATACGTACACCGATCATTATTCAGTAGTCTATAAATCATTGTCTATTAGTCTTCAAATTAAATATATAATAAATATATTTAATTATATTTATAAATTATTGATGTGATTCTTTTAAACAATTCTGAGAAAAATGTATAAAAAATGCATTGATAAGAACCAAACGTAATAACTGTAAGGAATAATTCGGTTATGACAAAACAGCTAATTAAAGTAAAATAATCTGTAATAACTAACACAATCGAGTAATAAACAGATAACAGTAAATGGTCGTGATACTACTAATCTATATAAATGGGTTATATTTAATATAAAAAGGCATAAAAATGTTGCTTCTGCTTACTGCTTCACTTAATGATCTTTCAGTTAGTACTAAAAATGGATAGTACAATAAGTAATAGATACAATTCAATCTAATTATGTATTTTAAAACGTGTAAGGTGTATAATAAAAAATATAGGTAAGTAATGCGTAATAAGTTATGTAAGTGTCCTACACTCTGATGGCCCGCACTGTGGCTGAGATCAGACGAGCTATTCGATAAGTGGAGAGACACTTAAGAGAACGTTTATAATTAGTTGAAATTTTTACTACGATATTATTGTGCTAGTACTCTGTCCAGCGAGGTTGTGGCACTTCAATAAGTAATAGAATACCATGCAATCTAATTATGTATTTTTTTGAAGTGTGTATATATATAAAAAATAAATAAATACCAATATTTTATATGTGATGGAACATATGTATTACCAAAAGTATTCGACTGAAAATAAGATGTATAATATTTCTTGTAAATCCCAGCGATTAGGAATGGAAAATAAAAACGATGTAAATTTGATATAGAATTGTAACCAAGAGCGAACCATACATTTGTGTACGTTGATTGAGAACTCCAGAGAGACACGTAATCGCAGTTGTAGCAAAAAGCGAGAGCGCTGAAGAGCACCCGAATTTAGGGGAGAATGGCCTTTTATAGCCCGAAAAACTGTGATAGAATCTTTTACGTGAGCGTTTTATGGAATGCGTAGGAGGGTGGTAAAGGGTATTATTTTTTATTCATCTTATCCATGGAGGACCACTGATTTGGTGATATGATTTTTTTAAGTATATGTATTATTTATTACGTGTATTAAAATGTGATACTACAAACGTATCGTTGACCAAAATCAGTCCAATGGAAGACAAGCGCAAGAAGTCACAGACCTTAAAAATATAATGCACATCATGGTAAAATTAATACTCTCTCAGCTTCGCATCGAATTTAAATAATTTGGTGTTATCTTTTGTTTATTATGTTATACATAAAATGAATGTTGAAAAATTGATGAATGGGTTGGCCAATTTCGTTATAACTTTTTTTTCGTAACTAGTTAACTAGCTAAGGTAGCAAAAACAGTGTGTTCGCGCTAGATTTTGTGAAGGATTAGGTGCAAAATGTTTATCGAACGCAATATCTGCGAACGGCGTTAAAGAGAATTAATGTCAGCTGAAGAAACCAGATCTGAGGTACTGATTAAGAAACTGGATCGTACAATGACGCTTAGCTTTGCTCAGTGATATCATATACGTTTAGAAAAAGTTCAACTCGTGTTTAAAACCTCAATTGAATAAATTTATTTAATACAATTATGATAATTTTAAAAATATTGAATTGTTCTATCAGAATACATTTTTTTATAATATCGTACAAAATATTGAATTAAAAAAAATCGAAATTGCATATATCAGCTAATATTTACTATCAGCTCAGCCCTGTGTAAAAACGATACCTTCTTAATTTTGCATCAAAGCAAACATAAAAAATGAGATAACTAACTTAGCTAGGCAACTCCTCAATTCAAAAACAAATTTATGTTTATATTTTATTAAAATGTACTAGAATAATTTAGTAAAATGTTTATCATAGCTGTAATTGTTTTTTTTTTTCAATTTTTCCGAAATAAAGATTCCTTATTTTAGACAAGCCATTTATCCAAACAAAGCAAAATTCAAAATATAGTAAAAAAAAATACAACAGTATGAAAGTACACAACAGGAATGTTATTGAAATTTAAGAGATTGGTACTGGTTTGTACCGTAGAAAAGTTTAAAGAATCACTGAAAACTATTAAAAATAACATGAGATAAGAGTTATAATTGTAACAAAAATAAATAGTTTACTAAATTAGTAAAGCGAAGTAGTTTTTTTTACTTATAATACTAGATACATTATTATAATAATTTGATTTAAAAAATTTATTAAATATACGTTTCATTAGTAAGACAATGAGTTGTTATTTTAATTAATCATTACTGAATCTAAATATAAAATTGAGAATTTTTTCGTTTAATTGCTCTACCTATTTTTTCTCATACCTGATATATCAATAGCTATCAATAAACTAAGTAGTTCACTGTTATTTGTTTAAAAATACTTCAATATTTTATTTTATGTAAAAGACAATTCTTTTAGCTTCGAAGTGAAGCTGAGAAGGTATTAATTTTACTATAATGTATTTTTTTTTATTTGTTTGTGTCTTTTACCACTTTTTCTTAGCTCTCACCAACCAATCACTTTTAATGAAACGTCAAAAAATCAAAAATTGTATCTAGTCGAAAAAATTATCCCCAATATTTGAAACAATTTCCCTTGTTCCCCGTAAATAGGGGAAATATATTTCTTTTATTCGACTTACTTTTTTTTAAAATTAGATGATTTCCTTTTATACATGGGTGGTTCAAATTTTAAAAATGCGTTTAGAAAGTAGAACTTTTTCAATTTTTTTTTAATTAAAATATGGTTATTCATACGAAACCTAATAATCAAAATTAAATATTTATTATTATATAAGTCATATGTGAAACTTAAATTACAGATTTAAAATAGGCGCAAAAATAGTTTTAGAAAAATATATTTTGGTCTCGGATGAAAATTCCTTGTAGACTAGTACATTTATTTATAAATAACAAACAATTTTGTTAACAAAAATCCTTCAACTTTTTTATACATTTGTCATAAAAGTAATAGTTATAAATACTTCATAAAAATTTATAATTTCTTCGTAAAAATTACAATACTAATTTATTCAATATTAATTTCATATTATATTTAATTGATGGATAATTATTAATAAATTATACTTGTAAATCATAGAACTACTGATTAGAAATAATGAAGGAAAGAGGAGCTAATTTTGTTTATGGATTAGTTCACAAATTACTTAAAATAAAACAGCGTCTACAGATTTTCATCGCAGCGTTTTTTTTTTTTATGCTAACAACTGTCAGAATCATCTATAATTATGTCACATCCCCACTGTATTGCAACCCATCTGTAATAGTTTTTTTTGTTTTAAAATTGAATAAATGAAGATTAAGGCTTGTTTAAAACGAATAAAATATTATGATAAAAACATTTTAATAATGGTTTATTAAAAGTAAAACCATTTTTTTAATTAAAAAAAAACATTTGTTTTTCTCCACTCTGGACAATGGTATACATATTCTATTATCTATATTTATACATTTTATTATTTAGCTGTACATAATTATTCATTTATTAAACTATTCAAATGATTGCCATAATATATATTTATGGATGACTTTAAAAGCACTTATACAAATAGCTTCATAAATTCTATTTATTAAATGGTATATAATTAAAAATAAAAAATGATTTAAAAATATATAAAATAGCTTCAAAAAGTACAAAAAAATATCTAAAGTAATTCTTATTTTAGTATTAATGTTCTGTTAGTGTTTATGTTAATATAACAAAAAATGATTATTTTAAAAATTATATCATTAATCCACATTCATTTAACGCTTGGATTATCCTTTTATTATTTACAGTGTAATTTTATAATGTATATGTTAAATTATTTTAGTCATAACAATCAATATTTAATGGAAATGAGTAAAAATATAAAAAAATATGATGTGCACAGTTTAAGCAAGTATGACGATGCAATAAAAAATCATGGCGAAATCATACTAGTAATGTTAGATGTTTTAAGAGAAACTGATAAAACTTTATACTCAACAGAATTGATGTCAGTAAATTTATACTTAAATAACGTATCCGAATATGTAGATTTTTATGCTAGAAATAATGAAGGAATATATGATTTGTCAAATCAAACTTCAAGTATTCTTAAAGGTTACAAGATGGTTCATGATTTTTTATTAGAACAGTTAAAGAAAAAGATATTAAAACTTTGCAGAAATGTGATATATGACCAAATATTTATTTATTGTCCTGATTACAACGAATCAGGTGAATATACTCCCGAAAATATTCAACATGTTGCAAAAAAACTTAAAAATCGATTAATACAAACTGATAAGCAACAAAATGACACTGATTATTATACGAAAAAATTAGGACTAAGTAAACTATACAATGTTTTTAGTAATGCTATTAAAAGATCTAAATATTTGGAGCTTTTACCAAAAAATTTAATATTTTATGACTTAATAACCAGAAATTGTGATATTTCTGAAAAAGAAATAATGAGAAATTCTCAGGATAAACAATATCCATTGTTAATAAACGGACGAATAATACGAATAAAAAACGGACTGCACCCCTTGCAGTAAATTGTCCTGATGAAAGTCGATTGACCCTTTTTGATATATTTAGATATATCAAGTATACTTTTTATAGAAAAGATAAAGAAATATTTTATACACTAAAATTAACAGCAACATTTCGTCCTATTGCTTTACTTGTAAGACTCTTTATCAGAGTTCTTAGTTCATCAACATACATTTATGATTTTCATGGTATCCAAACAGAACCTTCAAAATTCTATAAAAAAATCATTTCTCTTGGTGAGAGAATAATTGAATATTTTCAACAGTTTGTAAATATGAATCTATTTGGTGATGGTCCAACTGAAGTTTTTTTTTCATTTTCAAAAAAAACTTATGAATGCCTTAATAATTTTATTAATAAAAATCAACCAAATCTCAAATTATCAATCACTGAAATAATGAATTCATTAAAATTATTTTTGTATAAAAACAAAGTTGACGTTATTAATTTATATGAGCTCATTACAAAGGACATTATCAATAATTATGTTAATGAATTGGATGTGAACCTGAATCAAGTAGAAGAATATCTAGCAAAATTAGATAGTCAAAAGGAATTTTTTAAAGTCACTATAAAAACTTTTAATATTAATCACATGTTAAAAATAAATTACAAACATGTTTTTAATAAATTTATAATAAGTAAGTAAATTTTATTTCTTATTATTAGCTTCGATGCGAAGCTGAGAAGGTATTGCTTTTACTAAGATGTGTTTTTTTTTTTTGTGTCTGTTACCACTTTTTCTCAGCTCTCACCGATACGATTTCTTTAAATGATACGTCAAAATATCACAAATCGTGTCTAGTCGAAGACATTACCCTTAAAAATTAAAAAAAATTCTCTCGTTCCCCGTAAATGGGGGAAACCTCCAAAAAAATTACAAATTTAAAAATCACTTTTTCAAAAATGAACATATCAATATACATAAAGAATATATGTAATTCTTTTTTATATAAATGTGTAATATCATTACCTTTTTTTTGGTATATTTTTTTCATAAATTTAACCCTTTACCTGCCCACTGGGGGGGATTTAAAATGACAACTTTTTTACAAAAAATTTACTTTTTCAACTTGACTTTTGAAAATGTTCCGGAAGGTCTGACACTTTTATATATATCTTAAATTAAAGCTAATGTAATATTCTTTATTATGCAAAAAAAAAATTTCGGACTTTATTTTATCTTCACGGTGAAAATGGCTACCGAATGCTATTTTTGTGTGAAAATTTTCGATTTTGTATTTTACATTTTTAACTTTATTATGCTATAACTTTTTGAAAAATGTATGGATCAGTACAATTTTTTCATGAGGAGTAGTATTTATATACATCTTTCATTTGACATACTGTTTTTTTAAATCCGACCATTTCCCAATATACGAGGGGGGTTCAAATCTAAAAAATGCATGTAGAAAGTAGAACTTTTTCAACTTAAATTTTGAAAGTGTTCCGGAAAGTCTGACACTTTTATATATATCTTAAATTAAAGCTAATGTAATATACTTTATTATGCAAAAAAAAAATGTCGAACTTTATTTTATCTTCATGGTGAAAACAGACATAAAAGTTTATAAAAAAACCCAGCACAGGGGGGTCGCGGCACAGTGGTGACGTGGCATAGTTGGATCAAGTAAATGATATCTGACAGTGATTAAAATCACTATCAAAAATAAACGCTTCGATGCAAATCTTTAGATAGTGTTTAATTTTAAAAAA